GCTATCGTCCGCTACTCGCGAGGATAATTCCTTCGAAAGTGTGTTGATTATCCCGACACTCGTGGTCTTGCAGATTTCAGCAATCGGGACAGTATCAGATGTGGTTTCCGAGATCTTTGACTGCATGCGCATAGGGGAAAGCGAGATGTCGGGCTTCAGTTCCGTTAGGAAATCTTCGTCGTCATGCTCAATATCAGACGCTTTGGAATCCTCGGCAAGTTGTAGTGTCAATTCGCGTGCTGCATCTACCGGCTGATCAACAGCTAGACTAGCAGCAGTTACAGGAACTGAAAGTTCTTGACCCAAAGTACTGACGTCAATGTACTCTGGCTTCGTAGGCTCAATGATCGTATTTATGAACTTCGTGCTAACTTTTTCCTCTTCGATGATAGTCGGATCATCGGTGTTCATTTTCTCAGATTTTTTTGTAATCTTCTCTACTGAGCTGATATTTTTGACCGGTGACTCGCGCTTGCCTTTGCCTTTATTCTTCTTCGTAGGGGACTTCTGTTGGCGTCTGAACATATCGGATTTAGTACTTTCCATCTCCGGACGGTCCGTGATTGCCGTCTCTGTGGGTGGCTTCGACAGGCCGCTTCTAGCATCCTGGGGAGAGTACAATACCTTGCCATTCGCCGTAGTCGAGTCTGAATCTGCATCTCCAATAGTCTTCTCTTCTTGCTGAGTCGTGGTGCGTGTAACATCACGATTTGCGTGATCGGTTACCTTCCCGGTAAGTGACTGATCAAAGTAGCCTGAGGTTGAGGGTGTGTCCTTCTGGAAGAAACGCCTCGGTACTGTCACGGTGAGGCGGCCGCCTCGAAGGTAAGGATTGAGCTTCGTGATGCCCAAAGCCACCTTAGCTTCCGCGCATGAAGCAAATCTACGAGCGTCAGCTAGTTCAGAGCAGCAACCACGGGAAGACTTACGTAGCGAAAGCATGAGTACCATTTTGCGGAAGTCTACTCCGCAGGGAGATTGCAGTGGCAGTAACGTCAACAGTCTGCTTGAACAGCTGGATGATTTCATCTTCTCTCGCATCCGGCGGCAAGTCTCCGATCCAAAGCTCATTCACGGTCAAGTTTTTTGGCCCAATCCATGTATGACCACAACCAGAGACAGAGTCGCCAGTGATGTTCGGGTCATCCTCAGAAAGACGACGTCGAGCGTTGAAGTCAGGGTTGCGAGGTCCGCCAGGTGGTCCTTTAGCACTGAAATCGGCGTTGGATCTGCTATACACATCACGCCCACCCATGTTCGATACCTTGCGTCCACGACCAGGCTGAGGCACGAAGCTGTTATTGCCACCCTTTCGGGACCCGCTGTTGTATCCTAGTGCACCATTGAACTTAGGGTTGTTGCCGCTGTAAGGATCGAAGAGGTCTTGGGCATTGCGCTGGTTGGCCCGACGAGGCATCGGCGCGCGAGGGTCTTGGTGTTGATACATCATGCTATTAGTATGGTACATGTTGTTGGTCATGTCGCCCACAGAGATATTCTGACTGTTCAGATGATGGGGGAATGCTGGGTTCATGGGCTGATTCTGCATCATGCCTTGCTGGTAGTTGATGTGCGCACGAGACATCACCCCAACATCAGGTTGCTGAAAGCCATACCCAGTGGGAGCCATCTGAACGTAGGGAGGTAAGCCCGGAATCATTGGGTGTGGGATTTGTTGGCCCATTGCCATCTGCGGGGACAAGAATGAGGGCGACTGCATGCTGGGTACAGTAACAGAGGGCTGTCGCGGGTACGTCCCGTACGTAGTACGATTATTGTTCTCGATCCAGCCATTTGGCTGGCCATAAGTCCCAGATCCCATGTTGCGGTTGGTTTTCGGAACGACCAAGGGTGGCACATACAGGTTGGGCGACACCCTAGGAGACCCCATGACGATACCCCCGTTACCGCCTCTCATCAGACCAGAATGGCTTCCAGGTTGTATGGGGCCTTGCGATGGGATGCGCTGAGGGAGAAGGCGCGTATCGGGCGGATCTGGCGCTCCGGAAGCCATGGCCGTTGTGAGATGTAGCTTTTCAACAGCAGACGAAGACTCTATCGACATTGTCAGTTTGCTGGATTGAGATTGTGTTATTATGCGAAACTTCTTACTGGTTTTCTTCCTGTCTGACATGTTGGGAAGGACGGACGAAGGCTTTGTCTCCCCACTGGCGATCTTTTGTTCCCCGGCATGTGCTTGTGGGATCAGGCTCGTACGCAGCGTCGCATCCGTGGCCTTGTTCATCTCAATCCAGGTACCAACCAAGATATAAGCGACGTGCCAAAGGAAGACACGAGGGAAGTCTATGGGCTCCCCAAAGATGAAGATCTTGTCAATAATGTCAAGTGAATCGTTGGTGTTGTAGACGTTCCCCATCTCAAGCCCGGTGAAGTCGACTCGATCAGGATGTGCTCGCGCCCAATCTCTAGCGAATCTATCCGCCCAGTAGTAGGTGCTCCTTGAGATGAAGGTTAGCATCTCCTCGCAGAACTTCTTGCCCTCGACATGGATATCTTCGGCGTCCCAAAGATCTTCGACAGTCCATCCTTGTGAAGGGAGGATGCAAAGACATCTAGATGGGTCAGTATCATTTCAAGCTAGCTTGCGACAGACTACTTACTGGCTCTTGTACTTGACCTGCCAATACGATGCTGCCTGTGCTACGACTGCGGGATCTTGGACGCTACGTGCGATAACAGGCGGGCAATTGTCACCCAGAGAACGAGGGGCGCGAGCACCAAGCCCCGTTGAGAAGAAAGCTTGACCGGCGCCAGGGCCGAATCTAGGGTCTCTAGTTGCATCGTTGACTGGGTCGCCAACAGGGTTGTTCAATTTGGTTAGGAGCGCAGACTGCTTGCCCGCAGTCATCGGGGTTGACGTGTCTGTAGCAGGCGGAGTACCCACCGGATGGACAGACACCGACATAACTGGATGTACACTGAGCTCAATGAGAAGATATGGAGTGTAGTTCAGGTTTTGCGTGAAGAAACGGACGCGGCCTTTGCAGGAAAATATGGAGTCGAGCGACGACGGATATCTTTGGAGGAAATGGCAGCTGTAAGAGGAGCAAAAGCAACAGCGGAGGGAAGCGCAATTGCAGAAACAGGAATGACCAGGTGGAGGAGATGTGAGAGAGTGGCAGAAGTAGCGAGAGCAGCTCAACAAACAGAGGTTCCTCGTTGCTTCAGGTGGAAGGAGCAACAGGTCTTGGCGCTACAGAAAGAGGAGGTGAGTGTGAGTGGTGAACGTTCGCAAGCTCCGCGCACCGCCTTCCACTAATGCCATTGGCCATCATATACAGCTGTGGGACGAGATGCAAGCATACGGAATCGCTGGGGAGGAAATGAGAGGAAGAGAGATCAGTCACCAAGAATACTGGAAATGTCGAGACACGAAGATATGAGAAGAGATGGAACAATACTCACACTTTATAACGATTTGAGAAAAAGCTTTTGTGAGACATGTTTTACATATACATGTACTGGATCAGTGTCCTACTGGTGATGCAGCCACCCGTTGCCTAGCACCATGTCTCTACCCGGGCTACTAGCGGTGGAATTTAGGACGCGCTGGTCCCGACATTCATCTCAAAGGTCAATCAGTCCTGTCTAGCAATTGAATCCTGCAATCACGAGCTGAGTGGAGTGGGTATAGTACAGGTCATGTCGCTCCGCCCTCTACACTTTGTCCGTCTCCTTTGGTACCGAGCGTATCAACTTCATGATCTCGCTCTCGTTATCTCCAGCGACTGTGATGGTTAGCACAGACAAACGCTGTTCTCCTCCGCAGATACGTACCAGCTTTTCCTTGATTCCAGTCCACAACCAGCGGTCTCTGAAATGCTCCTCCATCTGCCTTTAGTCTCCTCATAGCATCAGTCTCATTCTCTGCGCCACTGATCACCTTGCCTGCCGCTCCTGATCCGCCCAAGTAGTCCAAGATGTTCTTGAGCTGGTCCGTTGTCGGTGGGGCTTCTGTGACATCGAGCTCGAACTCGGTGCGCTCGGCCTTGTCCTGCGCTCTGTGAGAGCTGGCCTGGTCTTCAGTCGCATGTGCGACAGATTGTGCATTGGCTTGCTTGAGGAGGGTGAGGACGCGGGTGGAAGCTTGGTTCGAGGGCGCGTGGAAGAGGGTCACGACGTTCTTTGCGCCGTGCTGAAGAGAATTAGCGCATGAGACCCAGAATCAATTGGGTATTTTCCTACCTCTCCAAATAGTCGCTTGAACATGGTTGCTGTAGTTGTTGTAGGTGATAACTCGGAAAGTGATGTTAGAGGGTGCTCCTGCAGCTCCAGTGGAGTGAGGTTCGGGTGTGACGTAGACAGCCGCTCGGACCTGCCGTTCCCGCCGCAGCATTATCACACGAGATCTACCATGCAGAGCTTGGAGCTCAATGTACAGATGGGTCATGTCGAGTCATCGGAGCTATGATTGTACTAATACTGACAGAAAGACGCAACGTTGAACTCGTCGGCACGAGCGAATGATCCTCTACCGTTGCATAAGTAGCTTTTGCCACTTCTAAGTACAGCAATATCATTACAGAAGCAACTGCATAGAACTGCAAGACCAAAACATGGCGCGAAAGGGTCAAAGGTTCCGTCAAGAGTGACAGCCAAGACATCGAGATCCATAGTGGAGTGTGTAAGGTCATCATACACAATACGAAATAATTCATAGCACGTTGTTGGAAATGGCGAAGTTGGGAACACAAGCAGCTAGATTTCGTGATGCAGCTGTGCAAAAAGCAGAATGTACATGTACGCCATGAATATGCCCCCATCATCCCAAAGTGTGGGATCATGCTGCTGCTGAGGAACGTGCCGTAGCGACGTCCGTGATTCCCACTCCCTCTGATCCAGAGTCATAGCCATCCTGAGGAAACCGAATTCATGACCGTGTTCTCTAGCTCATCGTGCTCGTTTCGTTCGCCCGTCCTCTCATGGTTGGCTTATGAGGTAGGGTTGGGGTTCATCTAAGGCATGTCAGTTCTTGTCCATCACGTAGGGTTCCGGTGTCTGCTGACCTTGCGCTTGCCACCGGTCATGGTGACGTTTACGAAACGGCGGGTGTATGTGAGCCTCTTCTTGGCGCGGCCCTTGGGGGTCTTCTTCTTCTCCTGGGGCTCAACCTGTATCGTGTGTCAGCCAACTATCCGTTGTCCAAATCGGTTCCATCCTTCTCCGCATTTGTCGCGCTGTCGTGGTTCGGCTTGTCGCTAGCGATCGGAGAGGCGTTCACGTATCGACGGGTATGAGCTTACCTTGGGGGCTATGCATTGTTAGCAGACGTTCTTTGATGATTTCACAGGGGCCAAGACTTACTTTGAGACTTGACCTTTCCGGCACGAGCGAGGGATCCGTGAACCTTTCCCATATTTGCGGTTGTTGATGGGTGTGATGAGTCGTTCGAAGTAGTCTGTGTGGTGGCAAAGTCCAATTAGCGGTCTGCCTTGTAGCTTTCGAGAGTCGGGTGCGGAGTGTAAAAGTCTTGATTTCGCAAGGCTTCGCTTTTGATGCAGGTGTGATCGTAGGGATGGGCGGAATACGTACAGGTTGCGGTCGTTGGGTGTTCGAGGACTGGGCGGCGACGTGAGGGTCAAAATGACTCCAGGGCTGTGGACAGCGGCTCACCGGATTAGCCGAGATCACGTGTTACACTAGCGTGTCGAGCGATGTGAGCATTGATCGCAGTGACACGACCATGTCTATTGACTCAGATTATCTTGCCTGGTAAAAGCCTATACAGCAAATGTGCGAACAAAATCGTTGAGATGCAGTCTGACGTGTGAGTTGGGTCGGCTTCTGGACATCTCAAACATGCGTACGGGCGCCTCGCCTCCACAGCTGTACAGAGATGATCAGATAAGATAATGCGAACCATCATGACCAAGTGGAACGGAATACAGATTAGACACGCGAGCTTCCCCAATGATCTTCAGGCTACTTTCACGCAGCGCAGCTATGCCTTGTCTAGTCGCTTTTCATTGAATCGGATTCACGCCGGTTGCAGCCATGCCTTCCGCAATGGACTTTATCATGGCCCCAGCCGGAGATCCCCGCCGTTGTTTAGGGTCGCATGATGCGCATGATGCGTCCCGTAGCTTCGCTTGAACGCGTCGCTGCCTGCCACCCATCACCACCTTCACTGACAACTCGTGATAGCTATCTAGCTCTCCAGATACCTGTCTATACCTTCAAGCTACTCAAATCTAGACATTAGCAAGATGCGTCTCCAAGCTGCCATCGCCAGCCTCATCACCTTTACTGCAGCGTCCAACGTGCCATCACCAAAGAACTTCTTTACGAACCCGTCCTCCAGCGATGGATCCGGTTTCAAGATCCCAACCGTTCACGAGTCCGCCGTTCAAGCCCGGAGGATCATGCGTCTAGAGACCATTGGCACCTTGTCCACCATCTTTCCCAACACCCACACCACCGAGCAACGACCCTCGGACGTTGGAGGCGCGCCCATAGGCTTGATGGACTACTTCGGCGACTGCGAGTCAGACTCAGGGAACCCTACTATCCTCGCCATCACCATCGCCACTTCCTTCAAGAACGTAGACGCCGGCTCCAACATTACCTTGAGCATGCGATGGCACCCCCAGGACAACAAATGGCGCAGTCCTGCAGCGCTCCCTCGCTTCTCGCTTGTCGGCCGTCTGGAAGACATTGATATGGATGCTATCAAGAAGCTGGGTGTGACAGCCTGCTATGTCAAGAAACACCCCGATGCCGCGTGGTGGTTACCGGGCTCAGGCGTCCACGAGAGCAAGTGGGTGCGTCTGGTCGTTGAGGAGATATACTGGATCGGAGGATTCGGAGATCGTGCCTACATTGGATGGATCCCGAAGGAAGAGTGGTACAGCGTCACACAAGAAGAGATTGATGGAATTCAGTTGCCAGGCGAGAAGCAGAGCGCGTGGAACGCCATCGGAAGCTGGTTCGGTATGGGTCAGCAAGAGCAGGATATGATCGAACTCTAGGTTGAGACTACGAGTATCAAAGTTTTCATGTGTTCATCGTGCAGGGCAGTTGAGTTGCACTCAGAGGTACTTTATGGAGTTCAGGGCAGCCTTTTTGATACTCTTCCACGCCGCATTGGAGAAGGTTATCATAATAGGTATTTATACTACGACTATCAGCTGATTGCAGACCGAATCGCGTGTGCATCACGAACATGACACAAAACTGAACCTTCATAGGGCAACGGTCCTTCCTCAATGCCCTTCGTACATCAGTACTACACGTGGTGTATCTTAGTGTCGAAGGAGGTCTTATTCTTTCCTTTATTCTCAGCACAATTCATGTGTTTCATCTTAAATTTTTCGCAAAGTGCGGTTTCTGTAGTCCGTCTCTTTGCTAGCTGCCCTGCGATACGAGGACGTCACATGGAGGTTTCCGCCCCCGTGCCCTCTTAGCTCAGCCTTGTCTTGGACCTCACCCACGCCTACAATGTTGCAACAAACACACTCCTCATACATAACAGTTACGCTCGTTGAACCTTTTAATTACCTGTGTGTATTTACAAATGAAAAGGTTGAATGAGAACCTGACAACATGCGCCTACTCAACGCAGCTGATCTGACATTCAAGGAGTTCGAAGGCTCTTCCATACCGCCCTACGCTATTCTCTCACATCGGTGGGAAGACGAAGAAGTCACATACCAGTGCTTCAGGCATTGGACGCCCGCTTTGAAAAGCAAGTCTGGATTCAGGAAGATACAACAATGTTGCTATCAAGCACAAAGAGACAAGATAAAGTTTGTTTGGGTTGATACATGCTGTATCGATAAATCCTCCAGTACAGAACTCTCAGAGGCCATCAATTCCATGTATACATGGTATCAACGAGCTGTGGTCTGCTATGCCTACTTATCAGATGTAACAATTCCGCTTAGCATACGAACGCTCAACACTGAAGATGTGGAGAACACATATCAGGTGATAGCAAGCAAATGGTGGACGAGAGGTTGGACATTGCAAGAGCTGATAGCTCCCCAGTCTGTGGTGTTCTATGTAAACGGCTCCGACGCCTGGAGCAGGATAGGCACAAGAAGTTCCTTGGTCGAATTAGTAGCGACTCGAACAGGGATTGCTAAAGAGTATCTGATTGGTGAGGACGCCCGCAGGTGCAGTGTTGCACAGCGTATGTCATGGGCTTCCGAAAGGATTACCACCCGGCCCAAAGATATGGCATATTGCCTACTAGGGATTTTCGGTGTCAATATGCCGCTACTGTATGGAGAGGGTAGCAGGGCATTTATCCGTCTACAGGTACGATCATATAATACTTGTCCCATCCAATGGAAACATTCGCTCACCTGTAGTAGGAAGAAATCATGAAACGATCAGATGACGAGACTCTCTTTGCATGGCAAGTTGGATATGGGGGCATAGAGGGCGATACATGCGGACCTTTAGCTCCACATCCATCACATTTCAGAGGAATCAACCATCTATTTCCGATGACTGGTTCAACTCTCGAGAATCCATACTCAATGACGAACAAAGGACTGACAATTGTTCTCCCGGTCATACATCCAGACGATGGTCCATACGGTATGGCAATTCTGAATTGCAATGACTACAACTCGACCTATAGCTCGCCTCAGATGCAAATTGGATTACCTGTCGTTCGCCTCGGGCCAGAAGCAAGTAACAGGTACGCGCGTGATGCTCGTATTATTGGGCCTCTCACCCCTGTTAAAAACGTGGATGCGTCTCCCAAGACTATCTTCGTGACACATGACTCTAGTCCTCAGAGAGAAAGTTCTGGACTTCTTGTCCGCTTACCGGCAGGCCAGGATGCTTTGTTTCGTCCGCGGTACTGGACCACTAGCTTTAGCGCCTTAGTGGAAGGAAAAGAATCGCAGGCTGAGTACCGCATACCATCCGATCACCGTCGAGGCGCCATACTTTTCCAGGGGCCATCGAGATCTCATATACTTATCTTGTTCAATATCGAGATGCAATATGTAGGCCAGTGGGCATGCAAGGTCTTGTACGTACCTGCGGAATCACGCCTTCCTGACCACGAACTCACTACAGTGCAAAAAACAATCCAACGCGCATGTAGTACCATCAGCTTGCTTTCCGACAGTACAGTCTCGAGCCAAGTTCTGGCCGCAGAGATTGAAAAAGAGCCCGACTGGAGCCTCACACACGACAACGACCACAGGCCATCTAATTCCAGATACAGCATGGCTTATCTCCCAAATAATCATGTAGCATATGCTCAAATCGAGAAAACAGTTGTCCGTGGAATGATTACATTAGTTCTCAATGTCGAGTTCCAGGATCGCTCACAAGAGCTGCAGCGACCGTACGAACTGGTAGGATCAGAGGTCCCAATACCTCTTACAACAAAGCCAATCTATTCAGAGGCTCATGGAGGGTACTTCCGTGTGCGGTATAGTCAAGTGCCATGATATGAGCCCTTTGTAAGCATTTCAGTTTCTTGTCATCCACGCATATTTATATTGTTAAGAAGCCGTCAGTTAGCTCACTGCTCGTCACACATACTGTGGGACCTTGTACTTCTTGTAACTCTCGATTAATGTTTGATGCCATAGTTTACTCAAAATCTAGTAATATTGCCATAGCGCATAGCGATGAGCCACTGAGGAATATAGCAACCCAGACAACACCTATGCGAAAATGAACACCAGAACAACTCATATGAGCTGTTTTCATCTCTCTCGTGACATTAGCTACAAGAACTATCTGCGAAGTTCACAATCGAGAGCCGATGACTTGAAGGTATTGCAACCGGGCCAAAGTAGGCAACATCGGAGAAGCCACAGCACTTGACCATTGTGATACGAGTCATTCTACACTACAGTACAAACCCAAGTGGTATTGAGTAACGGGGTGCTTGTATCGCTTCCGTGACATGGTTGGCTCGCGATACCTGCAAACACGAGGCACTTTCGTATTTTAGTAAAGACACGTTGCGTATGAGTCTTCGGAGAAGTGCGGTCACTCGCTTTCTTTGGGGTATCACTCCTGGATCTCCAAGTTGATACGACGAAAGCCAGACGTATTCGTATGCTCAGCTCACATCTGGCATCAGCACTACTACGAGAGATGTGGATAGCAATATCACGTTCGGTCCGTAGGGAATCACATAGAAAACAGATTGAGATGTGCTCAACTCTTCCGAAGTTGAATCGGCCTCGCGTTCAGGAACTTATCTCTAGATGGCGCAATTCGTAATGATGATCAACTGTAGCTCACTCCGACTCGGTCACTTAACTACACCGCTCAGGTCTCTCCACTTCGAACTTTCTTTGAGCCTCCTTCGGCGGCTACAGTCGGTACACCTACCGAGCAGCTTCACAGAAACGCGCCGCGGCCCACGTATCGCACTCG